AGCGGTATTTCGACCGGGTAAAGGCTGTGTTGACCGCATCTTCCCACTCTGTCAACTATAAGAGCAACGCCACATGTGCAGACAACCCACAATTTAGGTGCTGCTTAACTTCAAGGGTGCGTTCGATTCTGTCGATCGATCAGTGCTGTTAACTACGCTTGCTCAGCATAATCTGCCGCTGAATTTTGTGAGCATTATCTTATCCTTATGTGTATGGTGTGGTCTCCGTACAACAGTAGTGTCAGAAAAGGATGCCACTCACTCGTTATTGTTTAATTTCGTCATTCATGAACTAATGTGGTGAACAATGGAGGATCTTCAAAACTGTGCTCAAACTGTTTCTGGAGTACGCAAATGACATCGCCCTTATCTTTGAAGACCAAGGCGGAACACGCGTCCTATTTAAGAGACCGACCACCGTCATGCAATCTTTCGGCATGCACCCTGCACCTTCAAAGTGCGGCCATACTTCATAACGTGTAGGCCTTGAACGTACACTATGCAGTTCAGGGAGAATCACTGGGCGTCGTGGAAAATTCTACATACCTCGGTATTTGTATTAGCTCTGATGTAAGTGTCTTCTGAAGTCAGTGCAAGAATCTCAAAGGTTTGAATCACGCTTGCTAATTTGCGTCACCTTTGGCGTTCAAAAGGCATATCACTAGATTTTAAGGATTGCCTGTACCAGGCTACAGTAAGAGCTGTTTTGTTGTATGGCTGCGCGACATGGTCTCCGCAGACTGATGATGTTAGGCGTCTTCAGATTCTTGACCACCGATGTCTCAGAAGCGTTGCTGGTTTTCATCATCATCATAATGGACGGCACGACATCGGTGCTCAACATGATGCTGTGCTGCCGTACAAAGGGCGCGTCGCGGGAAGTATTCGAACCTGCGCGGTGGGCTCCATTGGATTTCTAGTAACGAGTTGATTAGGAAACGGGTATTTGGTCGTGCAGCAGGTAGTTTGATCGCAAAAAACATCCAGCACCATTGACTACGATGAATCGACCATGTTCTACGCATGCCCAAGCACCATCTACCGGGGCGAGTGTTCTCCGTGTCTCCTTCACGATGGCGCGAACCGCGAGATGGACAGTACATGACTTGGTAGAAAGGCGTGAAAGAGATCATGAAGAGTTTGGGTGATGTTGGTGTTGTACGCCTTCCAGGATGGGGTCCTCGTGACACCCTTGCGCTTGGCTGGAGACATTGCATAGAATGGCGGTTGGTCGGTGTCAGTGGCGTTCATGCTGTCAGTTTCTTTTCAGATTATTTGATTGATCGCTTTGGGGTGTAGGTACCTCAGAATGTTTGACAGACCAGCACCAGGTCCCCTCACTCACTCACTCACTCACTCACTCACACATCAGTGCTGTTAACTACGCTTGCTCAGCATAGTTTGCCGCTGAATTTTGTGAGCATTATCTTATCCTTATGTGTATGGTGTGGTCTCCGTACAACAGTAGTGTCAGAAAAGGATGCCACTCACTCGTTATTGTTTAATTTCGTCATTCATGAACTAATGTGGTGAACAATGGAGGATCTTCAAAACTGTGCTCAAACTGTTTCTGGAGTACGCAAATGACATCGCCCTTATCTTTGAAGACCAAGGCGGAACACGCGTCCTATTTAAGAGACCGACCACCGTCATGCAATCTTTCGGCATGCACCCTGCACCTTCAAAGTGCGGCCATACTTCATAACGTGTAGGCCTTGAACGTACACTATGCAGTTCAGGGAGAATCACTGGGCGTCGTGGAAAATTCTACATACCTCGGTATTTGTATTAGCTCTGATGTAAGTGTCTTCTGAAGTCAGTGCAAGAATCTCAAAGGTTTGAATCACGCTTGCTAATTTGCGTCACCTTTGGCGTTCAAAAGGCATATCACTAGATTTTAAGGATTGCCTGTACCAGGCTACAGTAAGAGCCGTTTTGTTGTGTGGCTGCGCGACATGGTCTCCGCAGACTGATGATGTTAGGCGTCTTCAGATTCTTGACCACCGATGTCTCAGAAGCGTTGCTGGTTTTCATCATCATCATAATGGACGGCACGACATCGGTGCTCAACATGATGCTGTGCTGCCGTACAAAGGGCGCGTCGCGGGAAGTATTCGAACCTGCGCGGTGGGCTCCATTGGATTTCTAGTAACGAGTTGATTAGGAAACGGGTATTTGGTCGTGCAGCAGGTAGTTTGATCGCAAAAAACATTCAGCACCATTGACTACGATGAATCGACCATGTTCTACGCATGCCCAAGCACCATCTACCGGGGCGAGTGTTCTCCGTGTCTCCTTCACGATGGCGCGAACCGCGAGATGGACAGTACATGACTTGGTAGAAAGGCGTGAAAGAGATCATGAAGAGTTTGGGTGATGTTGGTGTTGTACGCCTTCCAGGATGGGGTCCTCGTGACACCCTTGCGCTTGGCTGGAGACATTGCATAGAATGGCGGTTGGTCGGTGTCAGTGGCGTTCATGCTGTCAGTTTCTTTTCAGATTATTTGATTGATCGCTTTGGGGTGTAGGTACCTCAGAATGTTTGACAGACCAGCACCAGGTCCCCTCACTCACTCACTCACTCACTCACTCACTCACTCACTCACTCACTCACTCACTCACTCACTCACTCACTCACTCACTCACTCACACTTTCACTCTGAGACTTAATTACATGAACTTTGTGGTTGTACACTGGTGAAGCATCAGTGTCAACACTGATGTTGCTGTCTCTGATGATGATGATGATGATGACGTGTACTTACGAATTAGCGGTTTCAAGTGGATTTTTGGGATATTTGGTGGCATTCTTGTGCCTTTTTAGTGATCTGCTATTTGTTGTGCTATGCTGCTGCCCTTCAGTGAATTGCAAAATGTATCCTCGATGGGACTTTTACTCTTGAGTAAGTTAGCCGACGTGAACCGTAGCGCACGCTTTCTTCACCGGTTAACGAAATTTAGTTGCATTAATACGTTGTAGCCTACTTTCCGGACTGACGGCACCACCGTTTCTGTACTTATCATTCCGAGACTGAGCCTGACCAGTGCAACTTCTTCAACGTTCGTTTATCATCTGGTCCAACAAGAGCCATTATACGTTGTAGTTGGTCGCGAAGGTACATGTGTTTAATATGATAACAGAACTTACGACAGAATTGCGGACTACATGAATATGTAGGTTCGTTCACTTCAATACGTCGCGCAGCCCTATATTATAAGCTAAAATAGTGACCACTTCAAGTCCAGAAATGCTAGCTGATATGGTAGGATATCGTATTTACGGTTATTAGGGTATCATGTGTTCATCTTGACGACCGCTTCAATTCAGCCAGTGGCATAAGGTTCTTCAATCAGGGTATTCCGTCTCGGTAGTAAATCTTTTCGATATGAGAAATTATATTACTATGGGTTGTGCCAAGATTCGAACTCAGGACATCTGACATGTGAGTCGAGCGTGTTACCAAACCACCAGTGCATGGCTGAACGCGCCTGAGTCATCCCGTCTGAAAAGGTGAACGTGGTACGCTTAGACGATGTGATTGGTTTGCCGGCAATTTCTCACAACTACCCAGCAATACTAATCCTTAGCCCAAAATTTCTCCAAAAACCGTTGACCCGGACGCAAACTCATGCGTAGCGATGCCCAAACATTGCCTTAACCTAGCAACATTTTACTTAAACTTGTTTACTTCGTTTTTGGTGCGCATTGAAAACTCGGTTATGCTTACTCGTGGAGCTGCTCAGCTAGGCGTCGGTCTCCGTGTCACTGTTCGTGAGCATAATTTGTGTTGTTTGCTGAAGGGAACTCACCCGTCGGCGTTGGTGGACTGCGAAAAATCTGACACTTTCCAACCTCGGATACCTACATTCGAATTTAGTTTGTTCTTCGATCACGCATTTACAAAGAAATAATTGAGCGTAGCGTACAATTATTCTTTGGTTTTATGCGCGCAGGTACTACGATGTCATTCTACCACAACAGTCGATGCATGCTCTGTCCATGTTATTGCACAGGGCGCTCTCACTCGTGAATGACATCTTTAGATGACCGTGACAGTTGTCGCATTTTAACAACTTTCAGCGAAATAACGATATTTTTAGGGTAAACACCGAACAAGAAAAATCCTGATACACACCCCTCCTATGCTTTCCGCACATAGGTGCCAAGTGCGCATTCGGTAGCCGGTGTAAAATGGTGTACGTGCCATACTTACAAACCAGGATTGAAACTTTTTTCCATAACAAAACAATGTGTTGAGCGTGTTTTTGAGTGGTCATAGGCAATTTATGTGTGAAGACGTTTGCCTATTCAGGTGTGGTAATTCAAATGCGTCCAGTGTGCGCTGGTGAAATACTAGCAACACGCTCGACTTGCAGTTCAGTTGTCCGGAGTTCAAAGTCTTGACACAATAGAGGATACGGATTGCTGATGAGCTCGGGATAGCTCATTGGTTAAGGACCGACCTTACTAACCGGAAGGCCTGTGGTGCGAAACCAACCTAAGCATCTCAACTACTGCTGTCTTGGCTTGGGCAACCTGACAGTATCTCAGCCCTCGTGCTACTTTCGAGTGACATGGTAGCTAGGCACCGAATGGGTGTTACAACTGAACGATAATCATTTTATCATTAGGCAGAAGGAAACTCAAGTCCAATGCTTTCCATCTTTGATGTGGTCCCACTAGAATAATTGCATGAGGAGGGCTGCTCGAACGCGACTGGCATCGATGTGAACCCTGCAACTAATTAAAACTTGTCCAGCAGGCTTTAAGCGTCCGTGGCGCTACCACTGGGAAGTGTATTCCAGAAGTAAGGAAAGTGAGGAAATTAAAGAAACTCCATAAGAAAATTATTGATCGTGCAATCGGTGATTGGCCGTTGTTTAATCTGACATGTGTGCATACGTATCAGATTTTTAACTTCACTTTGTGGGACATTTTCTCACCATGAGTGAATTCTTCGTATGTGCTGCACTCAGTTTTTCTCTTGTTCATCTTACAGCGGAACCAATGTGGATGATGTATTCATTGAGACTGCACGCAAAATTTACCAGAATGTTCAAGAGGGGAAGTAAGTGAGGATGCGCACATGTTTTTTTCTCACATGATGTTTCCGAAATTCCGAATGTTTGTTCTATTTAGATGTATTAAGTATTCAGTAGAGCCGTAATATAGGCTAAGTTGGGATAAACCCGATCCCCTACTGGACCGCAACCTGGACGAGATGGGTTCGGCCAATTGACAAGTGTGATTCTTCTCAAATACGTACTTTTCCATACTGCTGTTACTTTCTCTACGCTACTGCGTCTTGGAATGAGTGTGTTGGTCCCAGGGATAATCCCAGCGCAGTTTTAGACAGTCTCGACCCACGTGGCTGTGGTCATGCAGCTGCTATGGTCCGCTTGAGGGTGTAAATCAGAACCCACGACAGCTGGAACTAATGTGGGACTGTTGGGTTCCCGGTGGCGGAATGTCGAGTCACGCATAGGTTTGGCGATCGAGAATATCAAACGAAAGTGTTCGGTTCGAAAATCTACACATGGGTAAACAAAATTACACAACAAACCTCACTTGTCCACATCCTTGGCGTCCTTGTGTCACGGACCGGCACAGCGCAGCATCAAGGTCCACACACCAGAGATAACGGTGTTCGGAATGTTGGCTCGGTGGTATGGGTTGCGTTGGTCCATTCCGTGGCCAGTCTCATGGTTCTGTCTTGCTGTGTGATCACACGAGTGCTGCGGCAGGACAAATAGCAGACCCAGAAGATGGAGTACGAACGCGGACGGGTAAGTAGGTGCAGTGACACACCTACGCAGACACACACGAATGCTGGCATACCAATATCGGATGGGGCGGCTTTCGTCGCAAGGTGAGTAGCTGGTACGCAGGTTGTGACTGAGTAAACCACGTGAAGATCGATAAACACACAGGAGAATCGTCATACTGTCAAGTTAGGTCCAGTACCTACCTACAAATTTGTTTACAGAACAAATGATGGAATTCTCCGCATGGTCACACTGGGCCATTCGTGACGTGATGCGCTGAGCCAATGGACAATATTCCAATCAATCAAAGCACACCCTGTTCTGTGGATGGTTCGCCTAATGGACGTGTAGCCTCTCCTTGATAATGCTGTTAATCCAACGACAAATTGAATGGCCGCTCTCGTTCGTTAGTGCATCTACAAGTATGTGAAGCTCTGCGCTATTTGAGACGACGCGGGTTGTGCGCTCGACCCTGAACGTATGCGAAGGATACCTGATGGTTGGGATCAGAGAACTCCGGTGTGTATTAAAGCCCAGAATTTCGACATCTGTCCTCCGGGGGCGAGATGGCGCGAATTTACTGACGGGAAGTTTCGTGGTTCGAATCCGACCTCCGCCACTCGACTTCCCCTGTTTAGGCTTGGGCAACCTGGCAGTATCCTAGCCCTCGTGCTTCCTTCGGGTGGCATGGCAGCTAGGCACCGGAAGGGTGCTACAGCTGAACGCTTTCTTTCTTTTCTGTTTGGGTGACTTGTCTTTGGAAGACTAATTGAGGGTAATCTGATTTACTGACATTAAGATCCGTTTACACGGCAAAGAACCTTCCAGTCGCAATAAGGCGATGCAGTATCAAGTATGTTTTCTCTCTATTCCTGCAGTGCATGCCACAATTCTCAATATCTGATTTTGAAGAACATTTTTGGCGCTCCGGAGCCCTCCTGTAGTATTTTCAGATTGGTTTACAATACCTACACCACACTTCCAACACGGATCAGTGTTTTATGTTAGTAGCATTCACGGAATCTGTTGAACCTCACTGCGTCATCGCTTCTGTATGAAATACGTTTTTTCGTTTTTACGCCAACAACCCACTTATCGTGTGTAAATACTCGACAAGTTTGGCACCACCAACAACCAGACACGTCAACGGTTAATGGTGCCTTTCTAAAAGTCTGTGCGCCACTAAGTGGTAATTGATTCTTTTGAGAATCGATCACTCCGGATGCGGGTGAGACGTGCTTACCGGTTGAAGCATGTCTTTCTCCTTAAGTGGTGTGCGTCTGTTCGTTGCCGGTTTTTAAAAACGATGCTTTCCTCCCCCTTCAGATGTGTACATCAATATTAACGGCCTTATGACTCAATGTCATCAATGCTTGTTCAAGGTGCATATTCTCACTCGAATGTCATCGTGCTCTTGGTCTTCTGTGTTCAATGACAGGGTTGCATTTCTCACTCAGTGCCTGTCTAACTTATGTGCGTCTATCTGTCTATCAGGAGAAGACGAACCGTCCCAGACAACTAGATTCATTAGATAGCCGTTCCCATCTTCGGAAAAAGCACTCACACTGAATCTAGTAATCACAGGCGCCAGTTTAGCTTCCGTCGCAACAAAGCTTGTGGAGTTACTAATTTCTCGTTATCTTAGGACGGAACGTTGGACTTTGACCAGTGAGCTTTAGGCGGGGTTTTGACTGGGTATAGGTTGCATAGACTACGTCTTCACTTTCAATCAGGTTTTAGAGCAGCGCCATATGTAAAAGCGACCCACCATCTCGGTGTGACTTGACTTCATGGGTACATTTACTTCTGTCGATCGGCCAGTACTTCTAAGCACACTTGCTCAAAAGGGGTTGCTCCAGATGTTTGTGAACATAATTAATTCTCTTATCGAAGGACGCTCGGACGTGTGAGAGTTTAAGGGCTTCTCCGCAGGAGTTGCTGTCTGCTTCACTTTTGTTCAACCTCATCGTCATTCAAATATTGTGACGAACACTGGAGGGCGTTCGAAACCTCGTTGTTTCAATTACTGTCGTTTTGGAGTGAACAGATGACATCCTAATCTCTGAAGACGATGGCCAACCATAAGACGTGTTGAAGAAACTCACTATCATCGTAACATCTTTTGGCATGCGTCTTACACTTTCAAATTGCGGTCATGCTTCGGAACGTGCGGCTTTTGAGCATGTCGCTTGCAATTCAGGGAAAAACGCTGGTGTCGTGGCGAATTTCAGATACTCCGGTGGTTGTATTAACTCCAACTCGGGACGTGGTTTCCTCTTTCACAACCGCTCAGGTAAACGAACTTATTCACTGCATCGGTCGGTTTACCTGGAAGCATGAGATCTAGGTTTGATCCCACCCAATATTGTGGCAGCACTTTGCACTTCATGAGGGCGAGGCGCTTCCTAAACTGTGCAGCAGAATCATTTAGGTTATTTAAAATGAAAAACAGCTGTACGGTGCTCCTTGGCTTTTCAGCGTGCTCACTCCTTTGCCGGTTTTTGTAACACTCGCCATAATCCCGCTTGATGGTCAAATCTTATATCTGGCCTTCGTCGACATGCATGCCTTTAAATTGTAGATAATGTAAGTTATGAACCAATTTTTTTGCTTATTTGTATAGAATGACAATCACAAGAAAGCAGATGAAGGTACCGCGACCTTTTTGATTGAGTTTTCATCCAAGGTTACTGTAAGATTTCTAATTCGTAGAAGTGACAGTCAGATACGACTGTTGTTTACGTTCACTTAACAAGTGCTGAATTTCCACCCGGTCAGCCTCATTTCTCCTTGTGCCATGAAACGAAGAAGGTAGGAGATTACCTGGACTGCACAGGTTATTCTATGGTATTTCCACCCATAGGACGCTGGCGTAGCCACAAATCATACAACTTCACATACATCCAGGCCCGTTTTGCAGCCCTTGGTTCCAGTCGCGCACCGTTTCAGCTGTCTTGTATAGTCTTTTGAAATTGGAATAAGTGGGTGACTTACAACATAATTATTTGCAAACAAGTTGACATGAGTTTTACCGACGTATGGCAACATTTACTGTGCAAATATCCAAAGAGATCTGATCAGAAAACTTGCTTCTGAATAACCATTTAGCCGGTTAACTAAGCTTTATTCGTGTATCTTCCTGAGACGTTACAGTCTGTCGGCTGTTATTTACTTTATAGGTAGTTGTTTGTTAGACGTGAGACCGACCCGTTTTTCAGTCGCTCACCCGGTCTGTTCTGGTTGATCGTTTGTTGTCCAGCAATGGTAGCGTTTCACGTCTAACAAGTGTTCTCCTATACACTTCGTCTACTTTGATGTGCTCACATGCTCAGTCATTACGGGGTTTGCTGCTGCGCAGCAGCTAGGTTTCTAACTGAGCATACTGTCTACAAGGATTATGATAGATCCTGTTTGTCTGAGTGTGATATACCTTAACCGATGTTTTAGTACATCTGTGGGTGGTTTTTGGTTGTTGAATCTATCGATTACCATCAGAAATCTCTGGTCTCTACTCCCTCCATGTAATAACGGTAATTCCCCAGCACCGTTCTCGGTCTGATCCTTCCAAACTGGCATTTTCACTAAAAGAACGACAGGGGTTCACAAAGTCTATTAAGCGCCCAAATACAGGCAAAAAACCCTGTACAGCGCGTCACAGTTCAAGTGTGTGCGGCGACAACATTCTAGAAATTCGGACGACTTCTGTTCGTGCCATTGCCAACCGGCACTCGGCGGATACTGAATCATGATTAGCTGTTTGGTCCACATCTTCGACCAATCAGAGCTCGCCTCGACGATGGGCAAACAAGCGATCCGATACATTGACGAATGATGTACGGATTAGACCGTAGCGGCGCCTAACTCGATTGGTGCACGTTTCCTCCTTACACCCCACTTCTAAAAGTAATTACCGTTAGATCTGCCGGTTGTTCTTAATGATTTTGTTTCAACTGTACCGGTGTGGAATTCGTTTAAATACCAATGTTAAGCGGCGCAGACGATTACACTTGAAGTTTTCTGCTCTAGTGTGTCTAAGTCATGCTGGGCCATGTCGTGTTGTGACTTAGTGAGTCTGTGTTTCGTTTTCTCACACCACAATGCACTTGAACTTCCTCGTTTTTCCTTGTGGACATTTCAAAACTTGCGTTCAAATTAACGTCTCAGGTAGAACCAGACCAGTGGTTCTCATCTTTAGACACTTATTCCGTACCTATTCACGTGTTCCATATGATAGCCCCAAGCTGCAGAACACGACGAAGCAAGGATTATCAATTCTTGAAGAACAACTAAAACGTGCCAACGA